ATTTTCCAAAGCTTCCCCTCACAATGGTAGCTCTGCTATTAAAAACAGTCATTAAGGAAAAGTAACAGCAGGTCATATTCAGAAGAAGAAATACATAACATTACCTACTTGCACAAAGTAAAAACATTTTATTGGAAATAGACTTATGAGGCTATACAGAAATACTGATTAATACAGATGTTAAGAATCAACATGACAAAGGGATTAATAACTGTAAACAGAGGTAGTACTAAGATATGTACCATTGCATAAAACAACGAACACTCACATACTCACTTTTCCGTCAGTTTTAGCAACTCTGCTCCTGAAGATCCATTCACTTTCCTACAAAAAAAGAAACTGAAATTAGCAAAAAATGCATATATATTCATCATAAGTACATTTTTTTCTTTTAAGTAAACCAGACAGCTAAAATCTAAATGTTTTACCCACCTGTCCCCTGTGATCTGTCTGAATTAGCAGTTACTTACCACACTCAATTAAGAAAGAAGATGAATTACTCAGCTAAATAAACAGTATCAAAAAACTTCCTGTGACAAATTATTACAGAAAAAACACCTTCCTAATAAATTCCAGAATTTCCTTTCCCTTTTGTCATCTTTTATTCACTATCTCAAATCCCAGTTTTTCTTCCATTCATTAGCAAAAGCTTTTGGAAATACTGTAACTGCTTTCTTAAAAGCACTCAGAAAAATATTTAACATATTCACTTAATGAATATTTATTTAACTGTCTTTCAACATCATTAAGTAAAGAAAAATAAAACTCAGTTGCATGTGATGAGAGGTTACAATTTAACAAAGGCTTTTCCTTTAAAAATACACTGTAAATCCCAACAAAGCAGTTCTTTCCTCAACTGTAAGATGCATTTATGTTCAGAGATTTTCACCCTACCACTGGTTCAAACGAACCAGAGTATCTTCTTAAAATATTGTTCCATTTTATAAGAGACTTGACCTTAAGTTTGTTCGATAACCCAGACACAGGACTAGCCTGATGTAGCCACAGATTACAAATCAAAAGCTGACAAAGCCAACCAGCTGATCCTGGTTTTAGTAAGGGCAAAAGCTAGAGGATCCGCTGGCCCTGCCCTCTAAGGGACAGAAGAGTTACTAATTCTGAAACCACTTTTCGTATTGCTGTATTGGACGGTCAGGTGTATCATCAGAAGTACTGTCCTGGCACTTTCATAGTAACTGTCTCAACTTTTCTTTATTCTCTACTCCAGGGACTTTTGCTAAAGCCTGAAAAAATTCCCACCAGGGGTTACATGTACATGAACAGTTCTTTGACCAACTTCATGCCCTCCTTCCCACATTACAGAGAGGGTGTTTCATTTGCTCTCACACTGTCCCCACAGTCCTCTTTTCTTTGTGCCTAGTACCTGAATACCCCTGTGTTTTTAAGTACCAGGAGGGAGAGAACTGGATGAAGCAAGACATGAAGCATCACGTGGTCTTCCTCAATACATTTCACTGCTGGCCCCTCATGCCCAACCCTTGCCCCGGGGTGGATCATTCCTTCTGCCAGACCTGCCCACAGCTGGGGAGCACTTGAGCCACTCAACAGCACCCACTCTCACCCCTGCTTGTCCACAGCTCACCCATCTCTCACATGTGCAGAGATTTAGGTACTTGACAGTAAGCCTCAGTTTTTTAGACCAACAGCAAATACCAGAAGCTGGATTCAAATAAGGTTTTCAAGTGGGCTTTTTTTTTTTCCATTTTCATAAATACAGTAGTGTCCCTGCCCTGGTGCCTGCAGAAGTTATGGAACTGTTAACTGAACACACCATTCAAAAAGCAACACATTTCAGGTAAGTGCCACTGAAGATGAGTGCAAACTTACACATCGTGCTACTGTCAGTCAAACCACCTCCAACATCCCAACATGCATCACTGGTGGCAGCAGGCACCACCACCACCACTCATGTACAAGCTCCATTATATTATCAAGGAGCCAGGCTGATAAAAACACTCCCTTTTTTATCACTGTTGGACCTCACTGAAACTAGCAAGAATTATCATCAGTATTTTGACAAAGCAAAACACAAGCTGGAAAGAAGGTAGAGATACACTATCACAAAAGACAGTAGATGGACATAAAAAAATATACACCAGAAAACAAGCAACTATGGAGGTGGAAAAGAAAATCTCATTCTCATTTAGAGGAATTAAATGAAGGAGTTAATCAGACAGAATCAACCATCAAGTACATTGCTCAAAATGCTAGTAAGGTGAACAAGTAGGAGAAGACTGATTTTACATAGAAGACTAAACAGACAAATTTTAGCTGAGACCAATGAGATAAAGTTAGAAGAAAAAAAGATGTTTAAAAGGAGGAAAATGCATTTCCCAGCATCTTGAGTAGATTTCATCTGTTTCTATAGAAAAAGAAAAAAACCCCTTACTTAAATCATGTGGCCTAACACAGCTTTAATAACAACCATGAAGAATCGAAACTCTTAAGGTCAATATGAGAATATTCCACTAACAAAGATTCAGGAGATCAAATCTCAAGTTTATTATGCTGAATTCAAATTCATCTGTTCTCTCAATGAGTACAAAGTTGTTGTAAAACAAATAATAAAAAAAAATCTGTTTCTGTTTCACAGCTATCAACATTGCCACTCATACTGAATGACTATTTTCTATTAGCAAGTACAGCAAAAGTAGTTGATATGTCTTTAACACAATGAGACATAACCACTAGCTATATTAATTTAAACAATCTCTTCCTAATTTTGATCAGAGGTGACTCTTCTACCTAAAGCAAGGTCTTTATTTTCTCAAATAAATACATTCTGTGAATGGAGAAGCCATTCTATTAATGCAACACAAGCTGCTCTACTATGGCCAGCCAAGAACGGCTTTGCACCAATTATCACAGCACTCTCTGTCTGTATGTATATACATATAACTGATGTAATACAAGGGTTTCTTCATCAAGCAGATTACATAGGTCACTTCAGATTTTTTTTGCACAATGATTTTCTTTATAAATCATTGGTTTTTTATTCCTTTTTGCTTTCTAAATAATGTGCTAAAAATCCTTCGTGCATTTGCAAAAGCACTCCAGTATTCTGAAATACTTTGTACACAATTCTTGTCTGTTTACACTTACTTGAGACATCAGTCGTCATCAAGGCTAGAAATACCTACTTCTCCAGGATTCGCAATTTTCTAGTGTGTGCCATCATCCTTCTGTAGAATCTACATTTTTGTTTCCAAAACATACAGCTCTCTAATCCAGATGACTATATCTTGCCATATGTGAACAAAGCATAAAACCAATGCTGTGCTGTAAATGCAGAGACAGGCAGCTGCAGTGTCTCCCATGCTAAGGGATATATCTAGGTTCATAATATTACTTTGACAAACAGCAGATTGACAAATGTGGGCCGGTTCTGTGTCTCCTCTGCTTTGGAAAGCTCTCCAAAAAAAGCTCAGATGCTTTTGTGAAAGTAAGATCTGGGACAGATGTAACTTATTAGAAATATCACTATTAACTTTGCAATGATTCCTGCAGTGAGGACATAAAGACAGAGAGAAAACACTGCTTTTTCTTCCAACAATTAGACTCCATATTTGATAATGCTTCAAAGATATCCTAGCATCTCTTACCTAGACAATTGATAAGATGGATAAAACTGAGTTTGAGAGGGAAAAAAACCCCCAACTTTCTCAACCTCCCCTCATATCTGGGACAGGCAGAAAACACTGAATAGACACAGTCCTACCCGTAGGATGAAAAAGCAGAAGTGTGAGAGTAGAGGGAAAAATCCAACACATCAGGAAATAAAATAATGTGAGGGGGGCATTAAGAAAAAACAGAGATTTAAAGACAGTCCATCTCTCCCTAATAATAAATATTAGGCTGTAGGATTTTCAAAAGCAAAAAGAAGTATGACTGCAACAAGTCTAGGCATATTCACCTAGATACCAAATAACCTGAGGAAAGCAGCTTTCTTCCAAAGTCAAATTAACTTGCATCTCAAAAGAAAAAATAGCCAGACATGCATAAGCTGAATAAAATTATTCAGAGCAGCAGCATTCCAATGAGAATTTACAATCCCATCAATTCCGTTTTCTTACCACATCATTCCAATACATCCCTGAGAGCAAGAGAAATGGAGGCAATGCGTTGGGGGTTATATTAATACAATGACTGATGTATTAGCGCTTCTCTTTGCCTGACCACCTGCAGATACCAACCTGTCCTTCACCAGTGCCAATGCCACGAAAAGAATATTCCACCAGGCTGCGAGGGGCTGCTGCGCCGGCACCGTCAATGCAAACAAGCGCATGGACCTCCGCCTCCTCCGCGGCTTTGTCTTGCGGCACACTTGGACAATAAAATATGTCAGCTCTCCATACTGCTGTCATAACAGGTCAAAACTGCAATGCTCTCATCAATTACTCCTGAAAGTACCAACCAATCCTGCGTATTTCACCCAGGGCAAATCACTGCAACAAACCGTCCTCACTGCTTGCACTGATTGCGTGAGTTTCCACGTCTTTTTGTGTATTTCTGACAGTTTTGGTTCCCCTGAAGTCCCGGATACCCCAGACAAAGAATTTACAATCTACCCTTGAAAAGGGGTAGGCGGTCCCGGGGCGCCCCGCAAGGACAGAGCGCGCACCGGCGGGGCCGCGCCATCGGCTGCGGCAGCGCGCAGTACCCTGCCCGCCCCGCGGCGCCCGGCCGGACAGCCGGGCCCGCTCCGCGCCCCGCCGCTCACCCGCGTCCAGCTCCCGCGGCGCGGCGGCCCTGGGATGGCCCCGCACGTCCAGGACGGCCCCGAAACCCCGAGACAGCTTCGCACCTCCCGGACGGCCCCGCACCACCCGGACAGCACCACACCTCCGCCGCCGCTTCCGGCGCTATCGGCGCGTCAGCGGAACTCCGCCCTCCCGGGGCCGCCGCCCATTGGCCGCAGCCGCGCCGGGCGCGGTGCGTCAGCGGAAGCGCGACGGGATCGGGGCGGTGGGAGCGGGGAGCAGCGAGAAGGCGGCGAGTCGAGAGTCCGGACCGATCCCGTAGGGACCTGCGCGTCCTCCGGTGCCGCGTCGCAGGATGGGCTCCCTCGCGGGCTGAGCCCTCCGGGACGGGGGCACCACGCGTGTGGGAGCGCTTGTTTACAGCTCCCTCTCTTCGGGCTTTTGCGGCGTAGGAAGGGATGAAATAAGCAGCTGGTCGGGACCGTGCTGTGGTAAGGGAACCGCGGGGTGATGCTACAGCCAAAAGCTTTAGTACAGCGTGTGGAGTCTGTGAGCAGTCTGTGAGCAGTCTGTGAGCAGTCTGTGAGCAGTCTGTGAGCAGTCTGTGAGCAGTCTGTGAGCAGTCTGTGACTCTGTTGCCTTAATGGGGGTTTGCACGTACCGAGCTCTGAAATGGAGTCAAGTCTCTCGGCTGGGGTTTGAGGAGGAAGGGCCGTCACCTACTAAATTACCCAGATCTGCCCCTCCTGGGTGAGGTTCTGGGCGAGACCAGATGCGATTGAACCAAACAGCTCTTCTCCCATCTTGGCTATGCTGGAAATCGCTTTAAAAAGACTGTTAAGAAAGCGCTTAAGGTAGTCCTTGCTGGTGGTCTGATGCTCGCTTACTTAATGTCCCTACGTTTTTGTAGCTAGATTAGTGCGTAAGAGTGGTTCAATTCAAACGGATCCTTTTTACGTTCCTCTTTGGCTTGGGCAGACTTTCTTTCTTTGCTGATAGCATTAACGTTGTTTACCAAACTCTGATCCTGTTTAATATTTGCTTTGTACTATTTAGGTGACTGTGAAATAAAACAGATTATGCTTTGACAGCTTATTCCATGCCCCCTCTGTAGGATAGAATTGTAACAAGTGGTTAATACCCTTGACAGGAACCAAGGAGAACATGAGTGTGGTTTCCTCCTTTACCACAGACATTTGATTATAAGCCTGAGCCAAGCTCCTCTGAAACTAATGGTTGGTTGATTTGGGTCTAAACTCTGTTGATGCTATTAAATCAGGAATAAAATACTGTGTTTTAAGGATCAAGATAGAAGAGCTCAAATTAGTTGGCCTGAGTGAGCAAGCCTTGAGAAACTTGTTCACAAATCATTTATGCTACTTTAATTGATTAAATTATAAATCTGACCTTGCTGCTCTGCACTTAAACACACAAATTTGTGCTTAAGTGGAAACACTGATGTTAAGTCATGGAAGTATGAGTGAATTTAGACTCCACTTGGTGCTTCAGAGGCATCTGAACAGTTTTGCTGGTGTTCTTATGTGTTCTGGGACAGAGCAGAAAAGACAATTACTGAAATTAATCATTGTCTTTTCTTGTGATGTCCCCAGCGCTAGTGACAGATGCTGCATTAAGCATATTGGATTCAAACAAAACATATTCATGTACCTGATCTATTTTTCAGGAGACTTAATCATTACTGACAGATGGTTCTTGTCAAAGAATGGCTTCTTTTAGTTCAAGTTGTTAGAAAAGTCAAAAAAGATTGAATTCAAGAAGTCATTGTAATGAGAGACAACTCTATCCTCAAAGTTAATATGTAAAAATTATGAAGGTGACATTAATATTACACAGAGGCTGTTACATTAATGGGAATTTTGCTCAGTCCCATGGGGATAATGTACTCGCTTTCAGCTGATGCTTTAAAGTTAAGTAATCAGGTAATACCTTGAAGATCAGGAAAACCCCGTAAAAGCTTCCAGGATAAAACAGAAATGTTTTGATTTGTTGGAGAGCTCTAGCAGGATACAGAAGTCAGGCTGTACATGACTCTAAGGTGAGTCTCCTGCAGCAAGTAGAAAGCTCAGATGTTGTTTTTTGGTTGCTTTGTTTGTTTTTTTTTTTTCTTGAGGAAAGGGAATATTTACTTTTTTTTTTTGCCAGCTGAGCAGAGTGACTAGTGATCAAGGAGAAAGAATGTGATGAAAGTGTTAAATTTTTATTGGACAGTTCTATGAAGTCAGAAACTTCCTGAAATAGAAGACCTCTCAGCCTTGTAATGGTGAGCCTCCAGATGACATGTCTCATCTAGAGATCTGCTTTAAAGCTGGAACTGGCATTTTTTTACTCCTCCCACTAAAAATCATCAGATAGTAAATGATGATAGCCCTACAGTTACAGTACTCTGTCTTGTATTAAAGTTGTGCCTGTCCAGTGAGTCAGACATTAAAAATAAGAAATCCTTGCACAACAGTCCTAAACAATAGAAATTGCTAAAAATATTTGGGCAGTTGGAGCAGCAAAACTGTTACACTTAAATTTGTTCAGAGGACTAGAAACAAAGTTCAACCTCAGCTGTCTGGCAGCCAGCACTCCAAGGTGCAACTCTTCCAGCTTGCTTCTGGAAAAAGTAGTGTGCAGCTGAAAATGGTGGTTCTGTAGGCGGCCTTTATTAATAATTTCCTAACAACTGAGGTATTAGGCCCGTAGTAATCTCTGCATGATGTATCACCTCCTCTTTGGAGGTTTGCACTGTGGTGCTGTGGAATGTGCAAGCTGACTGCTCTCCAGCGATGCCGTTCTCCTCAGCGCCTGCCCGTTACAATGAGGGCTGCTTGATTTCCTGTTACAGGGTGCTCCAGCTTCTCTTGTCGTTTAGGCAGACTGAAATTGCTGTCTTCAGACACTTGAGGTTCACCTCTGCTGTTTTCTCCTCCACTGTTGCAATATATTAGCACTGGCGATGTACTATAGCGCAGCATTAAGGTCAATCTTACCAAGTCCTTCTATCCACTGTACATCTGGATAACTCCACTTCAGACCATCTATTCGTGTGGAATGTTGCCAAGTCAGTTTGGTTAGGCTTGTCAAGGATAGTAATGCCAAGCAGAAAGGAATTTGGGATAATGAATCCAGCCTGCATAACACCAGATGCAATGTATGGCCTTTATTGAAAATTTATTCTGTTTTCATTTGCTTAACCTTTATGCTTCTGTTTTTGCTCATGCCAAAAAACCTGTCTCTGAACACGGAGAACCTCAAAATTCAATCACTTGGAAACTGCCACTCAAATGAATTGTGATACAATAAGCATGTCAGGAAAAAGAAGCAAAACACTTGGATAATCAGTGCCTGTTGGGAATATCACGTCTTCAGATGGCTGAATCATGAAATGTCTGAAAACATCAGCCAGATTATAATATGATATTAGTTACTTTGTTGGCACTTGGCCAAGCAATCTCTTCAAACTAACTACCCAAAAAGTCCCATAAGAAACTATGTGCTATGGCAGATGTTGCTTTTAATACTTCAGGTTTTTTTATCCCTTGATCAGCTTTTGTCTGCATTATAAAAATGAGCTGGTCTTGCTGAAGAAATGGCTTAATCCTCAGTTAGAAATTGGCTAGAAGTGCCAAGAAGCAGTAATAAGGCTGTAGGAAACTGGACAAGGAGGAAGCAATTGGACTGTGTAGGTAGTGGATTTGCTGTACTATTTGGTGTGCTCTTTCAAAAGGGCTGTGTTTTGATCTTAAATTTTACTCACTTAGCTCTTGGTCTGAGCCATGGCTACAGAATGGATCAAAGAGAATGTTTTACACAGACTTTACATCGCTTAAAATTTTGGGAAATGTCCAAATGGGAAGAAAAACATTGGCTGTTCTTTCTCTAGTTAGTTCAGTTACTCTTCACCTAGTGTTAGAAGATATGTACGTGGTTATAACAGTATTTTTTAGTTGATTCATTGTTTCCGGACGTACTTAGTTTCAAGACCATAGAAAAGATTGGAAGTGAAAATGGCTTTGAAATTGCCCTGTTTCTTGCCGGGATAGATCTGCTTAATTGGGAGGAGGAAGAGAAGTGCTTCTAGGGGAGAATGCTGTCTTATGGTCAGCTCTGGAATACACTTGGAGTTCTAGAGGAGTGCAGAAACCTGAGCAATAGCTACAAGAGGAAATGCATGCTGCTCTAGCATCTTACTACATTGACTTTAAAATCTCTCTCTCTCTCTCTCCAATAATTAGGGCTCTGCTTTAGGGAAGCTTTTTTTCACTTAACTGATTGTGTTTTGTTGAATGCAGCTGAACTGATACTTGTATAAAGAATCAGATCATGCAGGTACTTGAACAAAGGTCAATAATTTCACACACATATGGCTCACATACAAGAAAAATATGTTTGGATCCAGGAGAGGAGGAAGGAATGTATGTCTTCTGTAGCCCATGAAGGCAAACACTAATTTCCATGTAAAATGATGTAAGGGAGATAAAGGGAAATAAGAGCTATGCTTTTCTGCAACTTCATCATGGCTGTCTGGGCTGGGTTTGAAATACAACTGAAAGTCTTGCAACTGTTTTTTTTAATTGATTTCTCTGTTGAATACAGTTTAACTCTTCTCTCTTTCTGCTGTTACCAGAAAAATGAGTGGTGGGTTGGCACCAAGCAAAAGCACAGTGTATGTGTCCAATTTACCCTTTGCTTTGACAAACAATGATCTGTACAGGGTAAGTTTTAAGAGCTGCATTATTTAGATTTAATTTGCTGACAACGATTTTGAGTGTAAAATCAATACTGATATATATCAGTTTGTTGTGATAAATTTATTACTAATGAAATGCAATTGTCTGTTGCTAAATCTTTTTATTTTGTTTTATATTTCAGATATTTTCAAAGTATGGGAAAGTTGTCAAGTAAGTGACCTGATATGGCCTTCTATTTTTGTACCTCTCATTTTAAATATTTAATGTCTTTCCTTCACCTGAAAGTCTTGAGCTTTTTATAATTAAAGCATGAATGTGGAACTGTATTGAAGTTCTGTTCATTTTAATAAAGTATAAATTTAATTTAACAACTAGAAGTTCTTGCAGTTACATACATAGTACAAGAATATTTGTACTAGGGACAGGTTTTGCTAACCATTTCCTAAGAGCAAGTAGAATGTCATTACATACCATCAGTCTTTTCTCTGAAATAGTTGAAGTAGTATTCTTCTAGTAAGTATTGTTCTCCTTCCCTTGAACATGTGTGGGGCACAATGGATAAGTGTAGAAGTGAGACCTTTTACTTATGTCACTCAGATATCACAGTTCCCACAATTGCAATGTACAGTTCTCTACTTGTGATTCTAGAGGGACTTGTTATTGTGACTGCTTAGTATTTTACCTAAAATTAGATGTAAGGATGCATTTGAAATCAATAAGAGTTGAAGTTGTGTAGGTTCCCACCCCCCGCCCTATCTTGTAATTTTTTCTTTTTTTTTTTTTTTTTACTGCGTCTAGATCCTTCTTGAATTTCTCAATGTGCTATTGAAGCTGTTGATATCAATGTTAGACTGAAGATTTAACTTCATATGTCATGTGAAATAACACATGTATCCATAATCCTTGGATTTCAGCTGGAGATATTTGTAGAACAATACTGCACATACTTAGCATTTCCTACTGTGAACCTGTTTAGCTGATTAGTTCTACACAAACATAGATTTCTCAGTTTGGATGCAGTTCAATGCACTGTGTTTTTCAGCAATAATAGCAGTGATTAGATTACTCCTGAATTTTTCTTTCACGTCCAGTATGCGTAGTTCCCTCCAGTTAGGTTGCCTGCAGATCTAAAGAGTATGTTCTCTGTTCGGGTCATCCAAGGGAATTGAGAGTGACACTGTCCCCAGAAATACCCCACATTCTTTTTTAAAATCATCTCCACTCTACCTGTAAGCACATGGCCAGGTTAGCTGTTCCTTTGAATTTCTCTTTATTGAGCATTTTTATTGTTAGATATACTTTAACCTTTTTGCTATATAACAAAGCTAAGATCCCACTGAGATCTTTAAGGAAAAAATGTCTCTGAAGTCATTTTAGTGTATCAATAATGCAGTTATATGTTTCCAGAGTTACTATTATGAAAGACAAAGACACCAGGAAGAGCAAAGGAGTTGCCTTTATTTTGTTTTTGGATAAAGAATCTGCACAAAACTGTTCTCGGGCACTTAATAACAAACAGGTAAATTGTGGAAAGTCATTATGGCAGGAGGGTTGGGTTTGCAGTCCCAAAACATTTACCTTTTCTTTCCAATTTTCTTCAGTTGTTTGGAAGAGTAATAAAAGCAAGTATTGCCATTGATAATGGAAGAGCAGCAGAATTCATTCGCAGGCGTAACTACTTTGATAAGTCTAAGTGTTACGAATGTGGGGTGAGTAAAACCAAAAATCTAGAGAAATGGACAAAAGTTGTGGGATAAGTACAGCTTAATAATTGAAATAATATAAAATAGTAGTAATAATAGTAAATGGTAATGAAAATGAAAATAACAAAGAGAAATAAAACCCAAGAAAGGCAAGTGATGCAAATGAAAACAATTGATCACCACCAACCAATCAATGCCTAGGCAATCCTTGAGCAACAGCACCCCTGCCAAGCTTCCCACTAGTGTTATGGCTGAGCATGACATCATCTGGTCTAGAAGTATGCCTTGGGTCATTTTAGGTCAGTCATCCTGGTTCTGTGCACCCCCAGCCCACCCAGTGGTGAGGGGGATGAGTGGCAGAAGGGGCCTTGACTCTCTGTAAACTCTGCTCAGCAATAGCTAAAACATTCCCGTGTAATCAACACTGTTTCCAGGACAAATCCCAAACTATAGCTAGTCCCATACCAGCTACTGTGAAGAACATCAACTATCCCAGCGAAAACGAGCACAGAATCTTAGCTGGTGTCTTCAGTTTGGCCATTGCTAATCCTGCCTTTGCTGTTAAATTTTTTTTGGTTGATATTACCAACTTGCATAGCACGTTGTATCATTTTCAGGAATGATAGTACCCCTTCTGTCTTTTATTCGAGATTCTGGAGGTGGGGGAAAAATACGTGCGTGTTACGGATGCTTAACATGCTGATGAGCAGACAAATCTGAGTGTCAGTATAATGCTGTTTGTGAATGAAAATCTCCTAATCTTTGCTTCAAAATGCCTGCTTTTGCTATATCTTTAGAAGTTCACAACATAGTTGGCAGTAAAATAAGCAGTGGAAACAACTGTTTTATCTAGCAGTGAGTTTTAAGTTTTAGGCAGTTTCTGACTTTTCCTGAATGTAATGATGTAGGACATTGAGATTCAGATGGTATTTAATGTCCAATACAAACTTGATTTATATTCATAACAGCAAAAATGTTGTCTCACTTCTGTGTCTTCACTTGTTAATTCTGAGATTTCTATCTTGAATATAAACTGTATGTAGTATATTCAGCTACTGCAGCAGCCAAAGAAATCTTTTGTGTTCATGGCTTGTTCTTAGTATGCAGTTAAACGTGCATATCACCACCAATCTCCTAATTTCCATGGCAAGTTTATAGAGGGGAGTTTGTCTTCTGTGTGCTAATTCAGCATTCCATTTATCTTACTAATTGCTTCCATTTTTTTCTCCATGAACTGTCTTACATTAACTTCCCTCATGATATGTTTTAACATATAGTTGTTTGTAATGGTTTGTGTTAAGCAATATTTCTTTTTCTCCAAGGAAGCAGGACACTTAAGTTATGCTTGTCCTAAGAATATGCTAGGAGAGCGGGAGCCACCGAAGAAAAAAGAAAAGAAGAAGAAAAAGAAAATAGTTGAACCAGAAGAAATGTATGTATATTTACTTACATGTTCCTACTTCTTTTAGGAAGTTTTTTCATACTAAACACTTAAATTAAAGAACTTTTATTCTTTTTCTCTCTGCACAATGAAGTCAGGAGGAAGGAGAAAGTGAAGAGGAAGGAGAAGACCCTGCTCTGGATAGCCTCAGCCAAGCCATAGCTTTTCAGGTACAAAATTGAAGCATTGCATATTTATTATTATTTTTTAAATGCAAGTCTACTTCCTTCTTCAGATGCTCTTCAAAAGCTCTGATATACGTGCATGGGTCTGTCCGCTCTATAGCACTTGGGGGCTCTTGTTCGGCAGCAGCAGTTGGTAACTGTAGTTACATCTTCACATTGCAGTCATGTTCAGTGGGATTTTGTTTGAGGTTTTTGCACTTTCATTATTGCTGGTTTATGTGTATTTATTTTGTATTATGTGTTGCAGCTTTTTATTTCCTTCAAGCTCCTTTGCTGCTTAGTTTTTTGTCATCTCTGCTGCAGTGCCCTGCTAGATTTTTGTTCACAAATCCCTCTTTACTTTGTTAACTGAGCAGATGGGGAAACACAGTTATGTACGAATGACTGGACACATCCTCTGCCCTCACTGGACTATCCTTGAACAACATGTATTTCTGGGGTACTTCCTTTGCCTAGTACAGTCCATCGCAGTCTCTAGTAGACTCAGCTCTCGAAACATACTGAGTGCATATTTTGTTATGTAGATAGATTGTCTGACATCTGTATTACTGTCTTTATTACTTGTTTACACACTTCTGCTTCACTACACAGAGCAAACCTGACCTGTTATTCAAATTTCTTTGCTCCCTGTCCGCTGTGTGCCTGTCCCCAAAAAAACCCTCAAGAGTTATTAGCACAACTTTGTTCTGAATCTGACTGTAATGAGTGCAGAATTTTTACATTATATAGTCCAAAAAAATAATTCAAATATGCACAATTATTCCCCTTTTCCCCAAAAACTCTACAATTGAAAATAAAACCTATGAAGCCAAGAAACATTGCCATATCTCTCACCATCCAAAAATTTTATCTGGTAAAAATAGGAAGCTTCTATTTAAATCTTTAGCTGAATAACCTTCAATAATAATCCCCAAAGGCATTCATTATGTGAATGAATGATTGCAAAAGACAACTGTTAGAAGACTTGTTAGTGGAACAAAGCTGATTCAATAACGTCAGTTTAAAACGTGAGGCATTCTTTGCTTCAGATCTTAGCTGCTCTATAGTTTTTTTGCCATGGGCAAAATTCCACTTTTTGAAAATACAGGATAGTCCATGTGGCCTACAATGGTGTAGAAGACTGCTTGTGTGTGAGAAATACTTTCAGGAATGTTTCCTAGTGCATTTATCGCACAGTTTACTGGAAATGGAGATAAACCCTTGCAATTCTCTAACTTATTTAATGATTCAATGCATATGAATAATTAGCATTATTATTTGTAATGCATCTTAGTTGTTCTTAGTCCTAGCTAATACTTTTCCTTCTTTCGTTGTAGCAAGCCAAAATTGAGGAAGAACAACAGCGATGGACGCAGACTGCAGGGGAATCTTCGATTTCAGATGATTCAAAACGTCCACGGATTAAGAAAAGTGCTTATTTCAGTGATGAGGAAGAACTTAGCGATTGAAATAATACTATTCTATATGTATATATAATATATGTAGTGTACCTTTTGTAAATTGCTACAAAGTGATCTGTAATATAGGTTTGTTTTGGTGTTGGAGACACTGAAAATCATGTTGTATTTTTATTCTGTCCTCTCACCCTCCTGTCTTTTTATACCTGTTCTCAAAACTTCACCTTTCAAGGCAGCTTCTTAAGGAAATGGTGTGTTCCTACACTTAAATCCAGAAGAGTATCTATGAGAATACTACTTACAGTTAGTATCTAGACCCAAACCCTGGGAATGAAATCTTTCCTAAGAGAATTTCCCACAGCTTTTTTCCCAAGAGGATTCCTCTTAGGACGACTGTTAGCACCACTGATTCTTTATGTATTGGTCTGTTTATTGCCTGCTTGGAAGCAGGAGGCTTTAGCAGTACTTTAGTGGAATGTGAATCTTACACTAGTTCCTCTTCATAGGGTTGAATTTCAACTTTAAGCATTGTACTAGTCTTTTAACTTCTCATACAGTAGATGAGAAATTACTGTCACATCAGCACTGTTTTTCTTGACTGCAGTTTGAGTGCCTAACATGGTAATTATGATTATCCATGGCGTTTTGAATATACTTGTATCTAACCTGGGTCACAGTTCTATGTTCACAGCCATCTGAACCTGTTGGCAAAATCTAAAAGGCACAAAGTTTCCTACATGCTTAAAAATTAGCTTTCATGTATACTTGGAACCATCATGGTCTCTAAGCAAAGTGTGTCGGCACCTATTTTGCAAATAAAGCTGTCAAGACCTTTTAAATAGGGTCTCCATCCTTACATCTCTAGGGTTCTAGTCATGTTCTCCTGTATCAGTGATCATTCCCAGAACCACAGACACTTGATTTCTTACTGTTCTTACAGTTCTTACTGTTTAACCATCAGGACTTAATTTTCTTCCAAATATTCCATTATCTATTTTTAATACCAATTTACATTCAAATACATAAGATGCAAAGCAAAGAAATACACACACTCCCCCCATCAAAGCTAGTGTATAGTCTCGTTCCGAAGGTCATTCTTGTGCTTGTGTTGCTCCATAAACACAAGAATTCAGAAACAAGAATAAGGTAATAAAAGTTTTTTCTCTGCAAGCTACTCAAGCCATCGGAATAAGGAGGAATATTGAGTTCTAAACATAGGAAGGTCTTGGACTCAGTAATCAAAGGAATGTTTTTAAGACTGACTTTTTGCTGAAAGTACTATATATTAAGTCTGAAGCTTCCTTTACTGAATTTTGGGAAGATCTCTTGATACTGAATAGCAGAGTGCTAAAGTGCCAGGCGTAACTTAGTGATAGTAAATGCAAATCAGTGTACATCGTGTATGTAATAATAAAGCCTGAGGAGTTCTAAACTCTGCTAAGGAAGAAAGTCTTGCTACCAGCATGCTTCTCTGCAAATGCTAGGTTAGGATGCAGTGACAGTCAAAAAAAAAAGAAAGCAAAACAAACAAAAATATTAGACCACTACTTAAAATTGGGGTTTGTCTTCTTTTCAAGTACCATATTCAATGCTGTTTTTTGAAGAAGATAGAAAACTAAAATGTGACAGAGGACCAGTTTGACATTGTCCATGACTTTGGTTTGGGAATATTTGATAGCTTGTAAGAGTTAAGATTTCAATGAAGTGATTAGGCAGCAAGTTTCAAACTTGTATTTCATTACACTATGTAATGTGGTAGTGGAACTCACTGCTAGGAGACTTCAGGGTCATGCAGTCAAAAGGATTTGGCTTATATGTGAAACAGATTTTCAAATGTTAGTTTAATAAAGTCTCCACTCAGAAATATCCTCAGTTGCTGGCTTCCTCTAACAGTTAAAATATACAGAGATATCAACAGTCTTGGAATGTATTGTTCTTACACACTTTACTGTTTCATATTTGCTACTGGTGTCTTGTCAGAAAGCATAAAACCCAAAACTGACCCTTGTTCTGACCTAATAAAGTACTTTTTCAAGAGCTGCAGTAGCTGAAGCATGTTGATATATTTTTCTAGTCTGCTGCTTCTGCCTCACTGCTTTCCCAGTAGGATTTGCTCTTGTCAGCATGAAGCAGTAGCTCAGTCCAGACTTTTACAACTGACCCAGTGTTGTTCCTCCATGCTCTTTTGTACCAAGTATAAACAGTTGAGGTAGGTGACATTGGAAGAGAAAAGTAAAAATGAGCCTGCTTCTGTGCATAATTGGCATCTGGAATTCTTTCCCTTAAGTCATCTTGCTGTAACAGTTTTCTTAACTCTGAACTTCTGTTGTTTAGCAGTGCTTATAGTTTTTGCCTTAGAGTCAGGGTAAAGAGGAATACACCTAATGCCTAAATCATGATCTAGAGGGGCTTGGGAGGAGTCAGATTTTTGCACTTGATCTTCTGAATAATTTTAAATTTTTATTCTTTGTTGGCAAGATAACAAAGCATTTCTCGGTGAGGAATTCAGAGCACTAGCATTAGTTAGTTAGACAGTTAGAGTAGTTAGATACTGTGAGTACCTGTTCTGCTTACTTAAATCCAAAATTGTTTCTGGCAGCAGCCCCTAATGCAGCTGCCTCATCCTGAAAAAAAAGGCCAGAACTTGTCAATGAAGTCTCTTTCTGATCTTTGAACCTGGAGAGGTTTGCTCCTATTCATGTCCACCATCACCTACTCTAAGCAGCACGGCTTCAGGTTGCCATCAGAGTCCCATCAGCGCTGAGGAGCAAGGGGGAGTGTTAACTAGGCTCCTGATTTAGGTCAGGCCAATAGGGTGCAATTATTTTGCAAAGCTTCAGCAACAGAGTGATGCTTTTGTCAGTGTGGTATCATAAAGCACCAACTCCAGAAAGAGAAAACAGCTTTGGTGGTTGTATGGCTCTGGGCCAGACAAGGTGAGACTCTAGTCTTGTTATCAAAAGAGAGAAGAATAAAAATCACCTTGTAGAACCCTTTATTGTTGCTGTTAGAAAAACCACATGATTGTCTTCTGAGGGGGCCGTGTGCAGGAGGTGTGTTTGTTTGGGGTTATTTTTAGTACTTTGAGAACTTAGGTTAGCAAGCTGACTGCTAGTTTTAGAGTATAGATAATATGGCTCTGATAAGTAGCAGATTTTTTTTTTTAATAATGTCAAAAACTTGGATCTTTCTGCAAACATCCACTTATTAGATTTTATCTTTCGTAGTTTCCAAACAGCTTGAAAATTGTCAAAATGTGTTATGGGTCATAGGACCTCTTGTCAGTTGAAATGGCTAACAGAGTAGTGTCTCAAAAGCCACTAGGAGATGCCTTTTGTCTGTCCTTGTGGAAGAAGGGGCTATGGAAGTGAGATAAGGACAATTAGCTTAACTGAATATAAGTGGTATTACACAGACTGTGCCTGTGCAGCACTTGTTAAAACCATTGCAGCTATGAGACACAGGAGTAATTTTAGTCCATGTTTAACAGGCTCCCACTATGTTCTCGGCATATTCAGGTTACTACTCTCAACAGAGCAATAGAAGGGACTGTAAATACAAAGAACTGTGTGTAGCTAAATATATGATGTCTGGAACAAATTGTAAACACTTTGGCTTCTGGGTCACTGTGTTCTCTGGGATAGCCCTTTAATCTGCAGAGATGACTTACTGTAGCATGGGAAGGTGAGCTGTGCAGGCTGTCTAGCTGTAGTCTTCTGAGGCAAGAAATATTAAATTGCTTAGAAAAGCTAGATGTAAAATGTGATATTTTAAAATGGCATTTATGAAGTGCTACTATAAGCGTTTCTGTTCTATTTTGCATCTGCAGTGTCAATACGATTATATATTCTGTCACTATTCCATCATTGCTCTTCTATAAAAATATTTCAAATAATATTCTTCCAAATGTGCTATCTTAAAATAGCAATATTGGATATTGCTTCTTTTTAGTATAAATTACAAACCCATTTTTAGATGTCCTTTACTCAGCAGCTTTGTTTATCTTACGGGTCTTAAGAGGCTGAGGGGTTTTTTTCTGTAGCTGTTGAAGGTAACATTAAAAATTACTACACTGTTCCTTCTTTAGAGAAAAAGGTGTAAAATGGAGGGTTTAGTCACTTTTAACATACATGACCTTGTTTTTCATATCTATCCTGGTATCTGTAAAACATATCCTAGAAGGAATAAGTTGAGACTCTCCATGTAAAAGAAAGCAATATTTTTTTCAATCGAAGAACTGTACAGGTTTGAGAAGCAACCCTCCATCACTGTCAGGCTAACCATGACCCTGCTGTGCATTCAGACAGACAAGTTGTGTGTTTATGCATGTATTTAATGGATGTGATAAGTAATACAGCAAGCAGAGAGTTACAGAACTTGTGGCAGCAGAATGTCATAAAAGAGTGTGAAACATTTAACCAACCCACTGAGGCAATGTAGGTCACAGTGGCTTGAAGAAATACCACAGTTACTAATATGAGAATTTTTCTGTCTGATGAACAGGATGCTCCAGAGAATCAAAAGCAACTCTGAGGTTTTAAGTTCATCAAATGCAACAGCCACAAGCCTACATCAAGATGAGCTAATCCATGAAAATTCAGTTTTATCAATGTGCAGTCAAAGAGAATTAGAAGGCATCCAAATTTAGATGCTGCAGCAAGCTCAGTGCAGTACAGCAAAACATGTCGCTTGGTTGCAAGAGTAAAGATGCATTATTTTAACTGTGTATATGGAGGCAGAGCATGTAGATATGCTCTGCTCAAAGAACAGATGTGGCTATGGAAGAAGGAGAGATCTAAAATAGAACCAAAAGGGATATTAAGGACTCTGTGGGTATGCTGTGAAGTTCTAAGGCACTGAACTGTATTTTTAGAGTGGGATAGAACTGATTGTACTATGTTTGCTTAATTGAAGAATGAGTGTCTTATATCAGAAAATTATGAACCTTTTGATAGTACAAATTTGTACTGATGTTCAAATGCTCAAGAAAATGAGACAAATTAAAGGAGGATACAGTTCTACAAAGAACCTTACTTGGGATGTCTTTGATGTATGAATTTGATTAGGTGGCAAACAGCCATCTGCCCATGAAGCCTGGAGCCATGAGAGTGCATATAAAATTAAATGGCTGAACAGCATATGGCAGTTAGGAAAGATGAGAACATGCAGTACTTGGATGTGATGGTTTTGAGTTCATGAACCATGTATCTGGAATGAGTGATTGTAGTTTTTGATATTATGTTCTTTCAAAGAAAGTTTTTGAAAATTCATCAGCTAGATTTATTTTCATTACTGCAGCATAACATTTTTAAGGAGTGTTTTTACTGTGAGAGGCTTTCATAGGAAAAGCTTAACAGAGGAAACTCAATTAATTAAAATCTGTAACACAGTTCTGCAGCAAGGGTGGATTCTCTGTGAGTCCCATGCTTGTGGCATCCTAGAGAATGCAGGGCCCCTGGGCCTTATTCATGTTCATATTTAATTTAGCTGAAGCTGCTGGAGAATGTCCAGAATCCTCTCTTCATTTGCTGCACAATTTAGGTCAAGCCCATAACAAAGTACTTGAGTTCAGGACAGAGTAGCCCTTGCAAAAGTTTCACCTTTTTTTCACTCTTATATTATTTGTTCTAGGATGGTGGATTTTTTGCTGTATTGCACACCTTTGAAATGGCAAACTGGTTGACAGGAAGTTACTTAACTCCCTTGATTTGAATGTGGTAGGAGCAGCATACACACATTACTCTGCTGCTTTAAAGAAGGGGCAAGGAGTAATTATTGTAACAGCATTCTCTGGATGCAATTTCACTGCTTCCAGTGGCTGGGATCCAGAGAAGGAGGGAAGGAGGCAGGCAGGGCAAAGAATGAATAAGCCAAATGTGCATCCAGAATAAGTGTACATGACTTACACTAAACATTTTCAGGTTTCTTTCTACAGATTCTCCTTTTAACTGTACTTTAGATCAGAGTTTATGTAGATAAAATTCATGGGGCTGTCTGGATTACATAGGTATAATAGGTCTAACTGCAAAGACTTTATTTCAGTCGCATAGAAGTATAACTTGGATTATATTAATTCAAATGAGAATTGCTACAAAGACTTTATTTCAGTCGCATAGAAATATAACTTGGATTATATTAATTCAAATGAGAATTGCTACATTTTCATGTTAAGTTATCTTCATGCTTTAACTGGCTTCTCCTGGGGCACAATGACACCTGTCTGATAGAAGAACTATTTATTGTAAACTATTTTTATGTAGGTGTAATATTGAAATAGATTCTGATATGAGAGGCTTGAATGCAGACAGCACAGTAGCTTTGTGGAAATTAACAGGATGTATTCTTGGTAGGAGAGGAAGAAGAGTTTCAGAAGTGAGAAAAAAACAAATAAGGCAAATAGCAGGTGAGACTGAGAATATTGGTAATGCACAGTTCAGCATCAGAATAAGGGACAAAAGGGAGCAAAATAGGTTGACTAAAAATCAACACACACTATTACCTGTAGCATTAATTCCCTTCTATTTAAAGAAGGCTCTTTTAGGAAATGAGTGATATTGCATGTTGCAGTGAAGGCTTGTTTTTCACATTGAACTCAGTTATCTGATTTTCTCAGGTGCTAGACTTCACAGCAATATGGCAAAGGTGGATGCGGCTCAGCTTTTTTGAAAACTAAAGCCACAAATTACTTCCCTGTCCACTTTTTGCATCAGCAGTTATTGTTCAAGAGCCAATAACTAACTTGTAAGAGCTAATGATGCTTCTGAAAGCTAGTGTCTCTTAAACTCACTTCCCTTCTCCCCTGTCCCTCCTTCCCCCATGAGATTGTCATTGTTCAGAACTTTCCCCAATTTTTCCGACTGTCTGGATGACAAAGTTTTCTTGTCTCTATTCATTTCTTCTTTGATACAATTTATGCTGAGGGTTTTTTCCTTATTCATAACATGTTGTTTGTTCTTCTGCTTATGATGATTTCCTCCCTAGATTCTTGACTCTCAGATGGAGAGATTTCTGTTCTGGGTTTCTTACATGTTGATATCCAATCTACAGACCAGCTTCAGGGTGTCTCATTGTAACTGTACTTTACCTGCAAGATGTTTTTTAAAAAAACAACATTGCTTTCCAGCTATGCCATTCATTGAGTTATTTTGTCCAATTACTTTTCCACTTTTATTATCATTGACTAAATGTAATATTTAAATAAAGGCCTAGGTTTCCAGCTGAGGGAGACTTTACTCGTTCAGGTTCTTTTTTTTTCAGTAAACTGCTAATGATGTGAGTGGTTCAGTTATCTTCTTCCTTAGCCCATCTATTTTTAATTAACCAAAAAAAATGTAAAATGTTTAAAAACAACCCTAGCGAGCCGAAGTGAACAACTAATAATAAGTTTGTCTTATGTTTTGTTCTAAAATTACTTGTATTAATTATAAATAAGGCACAAGAAATTAATTTCAAAATTTGCTGACTGGAAACTTTCCTCTGCCATCTCTATTTTTTCTCATATTTGTGGCAGTTCCTTCACATAATATGAATAAGTTAAATTTAGTTCACTGAGATTATTAAAATATATATGATCGTCATTAAATGAATTATAGCAAAAACAGCAATGAAGTACACAGGGTAATGTTTGCTGCCATGTTCATTGACAGATGTATCATGCTTAGGCTTCAGCTGATGAGAGAGGCCAACAAACTATATTTCAAATGTCTAGAGATATCCCTTTGGAGAATATTCAAGTATGAGTTTCATACATGCCTCCAGTCTGAGTGATGAGAGCATTATTCATTGATAACTGGTTTAAAAATATGTATTTTGTGCCATAGTATTGTGATAGGCAGCATTTTTTATGTTGCTATCTTAAAAGGCTTATTAGCTGTTCCATTATATTTTTTCTTTCTTTTTTTCCCCTCCTTTTTGAGGATTTCACTGTGGAAATCTGCTGATGTCTGGCAGAAAATACCCGCTTTAGAATCATATCTTTCTTTCTAAAATAGAAAATACCATGGTGGGGAATCTCTGTGATATTTGTACATGATTTCAAAGATACTGTCTTAAGGTTATGCACTTCATTTTTTGTACTGCTATTGACTTAGAAACAAAAATAAGCTGATTGTCGCTTTTAATAAGAACAAGCCAACCGTATTTTGATTTATATTTCTATAGATCCATAGTCAGGCTGTTTCCCAATGTTCATGTTTCATACTAGCACCACTACAGCTGAATACTGGCTCAGGGAAACTGCATTTCAACTGAAATTTCAATCACAAGAGGGAACTGAGAGAGTGGAAGGAGCCTTAGCAGATACCTATCATTCACGTGGCATGAATAGTTTGTTAAGAAACAGGAAAGTCATATGAAGTAAAGAAGCCACCTTGCTAAGAAGAAACACCACACAACTGGTCATTCACTCTTACTGGTTTCCCAACCCATCCAGAGAAAGTGGGTCAAGTTTCACTTTGTAAAATCATCATTAATTCCATTAATTTTCAAATAGAGTCACAACAGAACTAAAGCAATGAGAGGTGAGAACTTGCAGCTCATGGGAAGTAGGCAAAAGCAAAAAGGCAATTCCTTAAAAAAGCTGTAATAAAGGCACTACTGCAAAATACTGAAATAAAATACAAGTGAGATAAGAGCCCAACTTTAGTAAACCATGAAATCTTCAACAGTGGTTTAAAAAAAAACAACCCTAGAGGAGTTTGCTAAGTGTAACTAGCACAAGGATACAGAGTCAATATCAAAAGATCAACCAATCAAATGAGAAACAGTGGTGTGTGCCATACAAATATCAAAAAACAAGGAATATGTTCAAAGGAAGGATAAAACAGGGGAGCAAATTGATCCACCCTTCACCAGGAGGAATCTTCAGTGTAGCAGCTGGAAAGGCAGGGGTGTTTCATCCTTGGTGGGATCAGCCCTCACTAAGGAAGTCAACTGTAATGCTAGCAACAATCTGTCAGAGTGCAAGCTACAGCTGGGACAGAAAGGAGCAGGGAATGCTTCAGTTGATTAGAGGTTGTTAAAGAGGTTGGACCTTCCAGAATATGTAAAGACCCTAGGCAATATTAGGAGTTACCTTTGGCAATTTGCGTTTATAAGTGTACACTTGGATTCTGGTTTTAAAAGGTGAGAGCTGAGGAATTTTTGGAGCCATGGTTAAAATAAAAAAAGTCCTGGAACAAAATTATCAAGCAAAGAGATGAGATGTAAAAAAATCAGTATAGACTCTAATCATTCTGATGTCTTTCTGTACAAGGGTGTAGATATTACACGTATGAAAGAGGTGGTAGATGTCATTTATCTTGACTTCATTAAGATTTGTGCTATTGTGACATAGTAAAAACACGGTAAAAATGCTACTACTGTAACCTGAGTGAAAATTTTGTGGGAACACTGCTCTCAGCATTTCACAGACAAAGCGATGAGATGAGAACTGAGAGGGGTTCTGCAGAGATCTGTGACGAAGATACTGTTTTATACTCTCTTTAAACCTTGGATGTGGAATGGAAAATATGCCTGTGAAAACTTGTGAATAATGAGCATCACATAGGACACCAGCTGTCTTGGCTTTTCATCTGATACTACTGAATATTGAATGGACATAAGAATAGCTCTTCCTTTCCTGGTTGCTTCTGAGCTAATCAGTTACCTCTGATGACCTCTGCGAGCACCTTCTGCTCAGCCCTTGCTTCTCCCCATGGTTTTTCCATGCTGGCATGGGCTGCTGCCCTCTGCTTATTGCACCAGCTGAACTGATCTGTGCTCAAGGCTTGTCTTTGTGTCTTTTTCCTATGGAGACAATGGCAAGATGATTGCTAACTTAGGCAGAATATTTTATTAAAGGTTTTCTGGACAAAAATGAGACTGAAACCCCTAAATCTGGTTTTACATACCTGACCATTTTTTTCCTGTCTGATCTAAATTTTCAGTAGATTCTGTATCTCTCTTCCAGAGAATGGTAGGTATGCTAATGTTTGGTTCATGAGCACATTAATGTTTCAGAAAGGGAGCCTTTAAAAGTGGGTGGGGTGTGTTGCTTTGGTTTGGGGAGGGGTCTGTTTGCTTTGAGGGTTGTGTTTTTTGGGGGGTTGTTTGGGGTTTTTTTCAAATCTTCAAAGCTCCTGTCTAGCAAAACAAGACTCTCTTTTCCTTGGAGGCAAGTTATAAAATCTTCAAAGCTAATAACTGTTCTCTGTCTTTCAAGGCTATGTGGAAGCCTGGGGCCGTAGACTGTATTTCCCACAACACCCAACAAGTTCCATTATGCCTCTAGCTGTGATGCCCCTCTAAGTATCAATAACCTACCATCACTAACAAGGTCAAATACCAGGTTTATAAAATACTTCAGTATTTTAGATTGAGGGCAATCCTATCTTTACCTGGGTTTATACACCTTTACAGCAGGACACTGGTGCTCTGCTGGAGTGGTCGGAGGAGACATCCATTGCAATGTAGTAAATGCCAAAGCTGAAATCCACGCTTTCAGGCCTTGTTTGTGTTCAACCCCTTCATTTTGTCAGCATGGAGTTTATCAACATGTGGGAGAAAGAAAGAATGAGAAACAGACTCTTGAGCACAAATAAGTGACAAAACTGAAAAAAAAAGGGTTCTTTAAGTATGTTCTTACATTTCAAGACTTTTTATTAATTGGAAAGAGAGCCTTGTGTGATATCATCATTTAAAGGGGAGGCAACTGCAAGCAATTTCCATTAGACACCAAGAGACAGTAAACTTGGTTGAGGTGTTGGACATGTTCATTACATTTCTTATCTAATCGTGTGATACTCTCAAGCCTTACTCACTGGAAACCCTAGCACTCTCATTATGTACAGAATCATGGTCCTAAAGAACAATGTGGTTAGATGAGAAGAGTCAACGCTTAATAGTTTTGCAGCCTTCCACATATGTTTGCAGAGCAATAAGATGAAAATTTCCAGGTCCTGCTTTGATAGATCACAGCTTATAATTATAGTCATGTTGCATGGCAAGGTGGGCACACTGCTAGCGAGATTAAAGAGACAGACAAGATCGAAGCCTCCCTGTCATTTTTTTTCTCTCTCCGAGTGTGCCAGCTTGTGCTTATTTTATAAATTTTGGTGAGAATGTTTCCATACTTTTTCTCATTTCCTCATTTTTATAGCTTTGAAAGTTTCAGTGGTTCTGCTTTGTTTCAGTTCTAATAAAGTCTTCTTTTGCTTGTCCTTTCTTTATTCCACCGTGTTTATTTTACTGTACTATATTCCTTTTCTCCCTTTGCCTCAATCTTAGCTCTCCACTCCACTCAATGCTGTCTCCAGCTCCCTCCCTGGAGGCAGGCCCTGTCATTACCACCTCTCCTTCATTCCTCTCTTCCCTGACACAAACAAGAAGCTCAATGACACACAGTTTCCTGCTTAAAAACAGGCTGTTCATCACTGGCTTTTATTTATTTAATAGTCCCCTTTCACCACAGTGCTTTACAACTTATTGTAGGAGATACAGGAAAGAAAATCAAACAGTGGGTTATGAAGCAGTGGGGCAAAGATGTGGGTCTGTCTGCCATCCCTGGTTCCTGCACTGCACTGGCAGATGTGATGGTGCTGGGGGCTGAAGGGCTGTGGGTCATGGCCTGGCAAAGCACTGGTCCCCACCAAAATATTGCAGCTACATACTACATAATACTGATAGGCTATAAAGTTACTTCAAAAGGTGAAGTGTTCCGAAAAGGGGTTAAGTGCTTGTTGGTTGGTCTCATGACATATCAAATATTTTCTCTCCAGGATTTTACTGAACCTGCCATATCTCTCCTCACCTTTTCTTGGTCAGTTCCTTGCCCACTTATAACCGTTCTGGCCAAGAGCAAAGCTGATTTCTCAAAGCACCCATTCTCAACCCTGCTCTTCCTTTTCCTGCAGGTACTGCACGTGGATCTCTACAGCCTTTACCTTGCGCCATGAGTTTCTGTTGCCATACTAGCTGGCAATGACACTATCACCTGTGTGTCCCCAGGTGATACGTGGTGTCACCACACTGAAGTGGGTGACACAGAAGTGCCATTTGTTTTCAGTCTTCACAGCTGTCATTTGAACTGGATCTGGGAAGAGACCTGCTGAGGCTCTGGAGAGGAGATGCTGTGCAGCAGTCCTTCACTGCCAAATGGCCAGGGATAAGAAGTATCATGCCAGTGCCTTGTGCATGGTTTACGGAGAGGCATCAAAAGGACTTGGAGTAGTGGAGCACCCTAATCAAGGCTTTGAAGAGGGCCTATAAAGAGTCTAAGAATACTAATGTATAGTCCAGTGCCAGAGGATGTCTTGTTTGTACCAGAATGAATTTGGCTGTGGTTAGTTTGGGAGTAGGGATATAGTTCCCAAGTACAGCAGGGATCTGGTAGCTCAGCTCCAAGCCTCCCTTCTGTAGGAGCCACTTCCCCTCCTTTGGAGGTGGACATCCATCTACACTGATCAGAGTATTGTGAGTACAGTTTTGGGGGGGACAGTAAATGGGTAGGTACTCTTGAGAAGGCTCCATGCTAACAGGCACAAAATGAGAGGGACAATCCCCTTTGCAGGTGTGTTGCCTCTTATCATGGTAACTCTTCTTTTCTGGGCACACTGCCAAGCAGCAAGGTTTTCCAGCAAGGTTGTCAAGTCTTCTCAGTTATCCCTCACACTGACCTTTCTACCCTAGAGGTACTCCCTTCTCTGACCCATCCCACCTCAGAAGTTTTTATCAAGACCATGTCCCATCCCACGTAGTTTTTGCTTGCTCCCTCTCTCAAGACCTTTCCCACTGAACAGGCATAGATACAATTTTTAAAGTAATGGCAGACATATTCACACATTTCACACAAACCCAGAGCTGGTTTTTATGGTCAGAAAGTGTTTTGACAATGGATGGACACAGAACCAGCCTAGCTGCCTGTTCTTTTCCAGTTTTCAATGGTCATTTATATTTGACTTAAGTGATACCAGAAATTTGGTGACTTCTTTAGTTATGTGTTTAATTCCACTGAGAACACAGTTTATTTATTTAGGTCTAGACCTTATTATTAACTTAAAAGTAAGAACTGCACAGTTTATTTTTTACAGAGTAATAGTTCCTTTTAATTTCACAGTAGAATACATTCTCTTTTCCAAATGTTGAACTCAGTTTTAAATCCGTCAGACCTTCTCCAGATGCTAAGCAAATGCACCTAAAAATGCAGATACAATAATTGCCCCCCAAAAGATCCACTGAAATGCTGCCTCCCAAGTAATGTTGCTTTTATCCCTAACCCCCTAGGAGACAGTGAGAGAGATTAAAAGATACTGCAGTTTCATCCATGTGTTCTACTCCATATTTGATATTACCCATGACAACAAGAAATACGGGGGGGGGGGGGGAAATACTAAATATGCACTTCTGAGAGATGAATGCCCTGGAACAATAGAAACACAAGACAGCTCCCTCAGGAGAAGAGTAGGATTAATAACCTTGATTGTTTTATAATGATCTCTGGTATGTTTTTCCTGTTAAGAGGGGGGAAAAAGGCTGTTTGCTACACGAAAAATATATTGTAGAGCCTACCTAGTGCTAAAAGGCAAGGGTGTGAAGTATAAATAACTTACTGAGAGAATGAGTGCAGAAAGAGTCCTCCATGGTTTCATCAAAAATGTGTTTGTAATAGTTTAAGAAAAAAAAACAGAAAACAAACCATTTAATTTGAAGGAGTTTTCACATGTATCTCATTTCTGAACTGCATAAACTGTGTCTCCAACTGAGTGATTAAAGGAAAACTAAAGAACTCAAAAAGAGTGGGAAGCAGTTTATGTTACTTTATAATATTATATTTTCCCTCAGTAGAGAAATTGTGGTCAACACATTCCTCTCCAAGAGTGGTTCACACTACACTTAATCTGGTATAACTGTGGGCTGCCACCAAAGATGGCAGCCTTTCTGTCTTCAGGTCCCCACTCCCACGTGTGTCCCTGTTCACTTATTTGCATCACGTCAAAGAATTTTGCGACTTCAGGACGAATGAGATCCCCTGATCCAACAGAAAATAGACAGGGGTTTTTCGTGCGGTAGTTTGCTTTGGGGTGACCCAAGAAAACTGAGCTCTAGGTGGAGGGGGAGGATGGAGAAGAAACTGGAGAGTGTATAGGGCAGTGATCTTATTACTTACATCAGTTTTAGCCAGAGCAGCGTTTCTGACTGCAGTCTTAGGCAGCTTCAAAACTGGAAAAGCACACTGTTCTCTATCAATATGCTGCTGGACCACCAGCAAAGATGTGGGGGAGAAGGAGGTGACAATAAATGTGATGGAAGAGGCAGAATTCTGAGAGGTTTGAATGCTAAAGCATATGGGATATTTGGAAAATGGGAAACTACCATCTCAGCTCTTTTCGAAGAACAGAAGGAACTAGACTCGTGTGTCTTCCATTACCTGGTGACTGAGGAGAGTTTTTACTGAGGAAATTAAAATCTCACTTAGCTTCAACCAAGAAATATTAATTGTTTTCTCATTTGCTCCTGTTCAGATATTTGCCACTGATCACAATCCAGTGGATGATGTGCTATGAAAGGTGGAGGCAGCATAAAATGTCTTATTGAATAATTGATCACCACCCCTGCAGGCTATGTCCATGGATGAATGCATATGCCAGTTAGGATGAGTGTGTCCCCAGTTAATGCCCTTAATTGACAAACACTTGATCTGAATTAAAATAGTGTCTTTAAAGACAGAAGGTTTCTCATATTTTACAGTTTCTTTTTTTGTGTGTGTTTTTCTGATTAAATGCAGACACCTTTTGGCCCTTTAATTATATAGACATTTAGAAATGAATTATGTATTTTTAAAAAACGGTAGTGTTATCTTGATCACACCAAATCAATGGGAAACCTCCTGTTTACCTTCCTGCTGTACTTCTTCATCCAATATCTGTTGCTACCAAGTGGTTATAATTTCCTCATCTCTTTAGCAGGAATTAGGGGACCAAATAAAAGCCAATATATCATGTCCCTGTATCTCATTCACAAAGGCGACACAAAGCAGTAAAGGGACAGAAGGCTAGACAACAGGGTTGCTGAACTCAGTATGTGGCAGAGATTTCCCACCTTTAAGTCCATTCTACACATTTATTGTCTTTTCACAAGAATCACAGGAAGATAAGAAATTTTACCTAAAAATAGTTCTGATTCCTAAAAACTAAAATTTTTAATGCAGCTGATATTATGCATATGTTGCCTTCCAGAATTTACTTCAGACTCTGGAAGAAGGAAAAATATACAAACTAAAATTAAAAAAAAAAAAAAAAAAGCTGAAGGAATGAAAAGAGTTGGAAAAAAGGCAGGATTAGTACCAAACGGTGCCCCCGTATGTGAGCTCTACTCTCAGCTTTCTGCCTCATCTCAGCTTTCTCAGTGTTGCGTCTTCTGAAATGCAGAGTCTGGCTCTTAGTGGCCTTAGGCCATTCTCGTCTGTTTGCCTTTGAGACAAATAATGGTTACTTTGAGGCAGCTGCCAAGATTTTCTCCTC